AAACAACAGAATGCAGTTCAACAAGGAGAAATGCAAAGTGCTGCACCTAGGGAGGAAAAATGTCCAGCATACCTACTGCCTAGGAAATGACCTGCTTGGTGGAACGGAAGCGGAAAGGGATCTTGGAGTCCTAGTAGACTCCAAGATGAACGTGAGTCGTCAGTGTGACGAAGTCATCGGAAAAGCTAATGGCACTTTATTGTGCATCAGCAGATGCATGACGAACAGGTCCAAGGAGGTGATACTTCCCCTCTATCGGGCACTGGTCAGACCGCAGTTGGAGTACTGCATGCAGTTTTGGGTGCCACACTTCAAGAGGGATGTGGATAACCTGGAGAGGGTCCAGAAAAGGGCCACTCGTATGGTTAAGGGCTTGCGGGCCAAGCCCTATGAGGAGAGACTAGGGCACCTGGACCTCTTCAGCCTCCGCAAGAGAAGGTTGAGAGATGACCTTGTGGCTGCCTATAAGTTCATCACGGGGGCACAAAAGGGAATTGGTGAGGTTTTATTCACCAAGGCGCCCCCGGGGGTTACAAGAAATAATGGCCACAAGCTAGCAGAGAGCAGATTTAGACTGGACATTAGGAAGAACAACTTCACAGTTAGAGTGGCCAAGGTCTGGAATGGGCTCCCAAGGGAGGTGGTGCTCTCCCCTACCCTGGGGGTCTTCAAGAGAAAGTTAGATAGGCATCTAGCTGGGGTCATCTAAACCCAGCAGTACTCTTTCCTGCCTATGCAGGGGGTAGGACTCGATGATCTATTGAGGTCCCTTCTGACCCTAGCATCTATGAATTTGAAAACCTATTGATTGGTTTCAAAATTTACTTTGCATATCAAAAGTCTTTTCTGAAATTTCAGTACTCTGATGTAACTCCTGCCCCCAAACCATGATGTCGTAATTTACTGAACATTTGCAAGTTATTTCAGCAGCAGACTCATAATTTACCACGATAGAACTATTTGAACGCTAACTTGGTGCATCTACATGTGCATATTAATGCAATGCAATAAACTTTGGCACTTGTCATGCCAGAATTCATTGCCCCTGGGTGCCGCATTTACACATGCATCAGGGATTGCAGCACATTGAGCCCAGTTAGAGCAGCCCTAGCTGACAGAGCCCTGGAGCTCAGCCTGCCAACCTGGGGCTGTTCCAAGCTGGCTCAGCGTTTTCCGGAGGGGCTGCAGGGGGCACAAGGGCTAGTGTGGGGCTAGCCAACAGGCAGCCCCCACACTGAAGCACACTTGTGCCACAGCCAATTCAGCTAGGTATTTACAAGTACAAGAGTTCATTAGTTTACTCCAAGCTAATAGCCTTGTACGTGTAGACACTGAGACACTTACTGCAGAGCTAATTAGTTTACTCCGCAGTAAATGTCTTGTACAAGCACCCCAGTGTATCACAGTGAAGTTTTGGTATTCCTTGGGTGCATCTACACATGCAATTATAGCACTTGAATAAACTGCAGCGCTTATTGCTTCAAAGTAAATTGCTCTTGGACATGCTGCTTGAACTTGCACCTGAAGCAATTAACTCCAGGGCAATCAGCTCCAGTGTTTTCAGGTACAGCACGTGAAGCCTGGGTAGAGCAGCCTTGGCTGGCAAGGGGTCCCAGCTGGCAAGGATCCTGGGGATCAAATTGCCAGCCCAGGGCTGCTCCTCACTTCTGAATGTGCTGGAGAGAGGCTGGCTGGAGCATGAGGGAGCTTCAGCCCAATTGACCTGAGTGACAACCATGTGGAGATAACTTAAGACAGAATTTGAGGCAAACAAATTTACAAAGAGCTACTGACTGCAAACAACCACTAGATGGAGAAATTGCTGAATCCAAATGTTGATTAATAAGCGGAAGAAACAGCAACAAAGCAATTGACATGTACGTACATCTTTTCAGGTACAAAATATGAGGGCAGGAGGAGATGAACTGCAGTTCAGGCTCAGCCTAACCTTGCTATCAGATTGTCTCATGAACTACTTTTAATGAACTAAGGTTTGTACTTGTTCATTGTGTTAAGGTTTTTCGCCTCACAAGTGTGAATTTAAAAAATGACCCTCACTGTGATCAAAATCAGGTAGCTATATGAAATAGTAAACATGCTGCATTTTGCTTGCTGGACTACTTTGGCTGAATGTTATGCAGAAAGGGTGGTAAGGAAACAATGACAGACCCAAGTGAAGCTAAAAGGAGGAAGAGTAACACATGCCCTTAGTATGTATGATCTGTAACTTTGTCAAGGCTGAAATTTAAAGCATTTTCTACATGACAGTAACTTCACCCTTATACAGCAGTTGAGTAGTAGCTAGCAAAGAGCAGATGACACTGAGGCACAAGAGACAAGACGACCAATCCAGTAGCTCTCAACTTGTTTCCACATTGAAACACCCCTTGGGAAAATGCCAGTTCTTGGTTGTCGCTTGTTTTTTTTACTACAGGAAAATTATAGAGCAGGTCTTCCATTGCAACCACTTCAGGGGGACCAGCAACAGGTGAAAAATGTTTTGGGCACTGGGGATTCCTGGTTGAAATCTTTCTGGGTTTCTCTCACGGGTCACCTAGCCATGCAAATGTTGAGGCAACTTCCAATGGGGTGCATGGCACCCCAGGCATTCCCTGGCTATCTCCCTGGCCTGGTCCCAAATTGTCCGTGAGAATGGCCATCAAGCACAGGTTAAACCAGGGCAGCTGAAGTGAGCCACGGCTTAGGAAAGCTTCTGCCCCAATGAGTTAGTGTAGGGCTTCTCAAGGTTGTCTGGGTAAATCCGGTATCTTTTGTTAGACCAACTCAAATACTTAGAAAAAATCTTTCTTTGTGAGCTTTCAGGAACAAATGTCCTTCATCAGGCTGAGGAAGCATCAAGGGGTATTTGTACCCCAAACCTTGCAAAGAATTTTTCCAACTATTTGAGTCAGTCCAATAAGAAATGCAGGATTCGCCCAAAGAACATTGTCTGCCTATATCCTACAATCTACACCCCTCTAGTACTTTTCGACTTTTTATAGACAGGCAGCCCTGTGGAGGGAGGTTGCTGTTTTGCTTTTTTTCCTACAAAACTACTAAGAGCAGCTTTTGCTGTGGCCGAGACCCGGGTGCAGCTTGCGGGCCGTGCTTGCACGCCTGCGTGCTCCCGGACCGCCCCCCGCTCCCACCACCCCCCGCCGCTCCTCGTTCCCCCATCCCGCCCCGCGGGAACCCTGGGGCAGTGCGCGGGGACGGTCGCACAAGCTCCAAACGCATGCGCAACCTTCAGCGTGCATCAGGCTCCAGGCGCATGCGCACCCCGTCATCCTGAGAGGCTAAAGGCGCTTGAGCGAATCAGCCAAAGTGCCGCGCAGGCGCAGAGCCCACGCTCTACCGCCCTCCCACCCCCTCAAGCCGGGGCAAAGCAGCTCAATGCGCACGCGCATCAGGCTTGTGGCGCATGAGCTAACCAGACAATCTGCTCCGCATGCGCATTTCCCCGCCCCCGCCTTACCTCCAAGCTGTTCTGGGGTTCAGAGCGCATGCGGAAACGGGGAGGGGAAGGAAAGGAGCGCTCGCCGGGGCGCATGCGCACCTGGCAGTGCTGGAGGGCGGGGCGGTGAGATGGCGGTGGCACGGGCGCTGTGGCGGGGGGCAGTGTGCTGGTGTCCCGGAGCTGGGGATGGCTCGTGGGCTGTGCCGGGTGAGTGGTGGAGTGGGGGCGGTGGCGAGTCTTGGCGTAGGCGGTGCGGGGCAGGGCAGCTCTCCTGTGCTCGTCTTGGGGCTCCCGGAACCCTGTGCAGGTGTTCCCGACCGGGAGGGGTGCCCTGTGCGCACGCAGTTCGTGCGCTGCAGGCCCCTTTAGTCTGTCTGGTAGCTGGTGGCAGCGGTGCGTGCGCGGCCCTGATTGGCTAGCCGTGCCCAGGGTTCCGTTGCCTACGGCCTGAGTGGGGACGATGTGCTTTAGTGTGGCCAAGTCCACTTAGAAGAACCGGGCTGTTTTGTGTTTTTAACTCGCTTGAATTTTTTAGATTTAAAACAAAATCTAAAAAAATTGATTCAACTCACTCCTGTCTGTTTGAAATAGGTTGAGCTTGTTTTTAAAGGCAGTGTTGCTTTTTTTTTTTTCTCCTGAGACTTGGCAACACTGCTGTTTTGCTCCCAGCTGGTGCAGCCGAGTCTAGTGAGTCTGAGTGCAGCAAGGCTAAGGATCCCTTTTGGGGGAGTAGCAGAAGCTGCTGTCTTCTGAGAGATGCCACTGTATGGACAGGCATTTTTGCTTTTGGAGGAGAAAATCTGGGAGGGAGCTAATCTGGTTGTTTTTATCCTGCAGCAGCCATTTTTACTCCAGGGGAAAAAACCTGAACTTCTGTGCACTTCTGGCTTCTCCTGGCAGAGCAGCACCTCTCCCAGGTGAAACTGTATGTCTGTAAGAGGCCTGGGACCACAAGCTGATGTGTCTGTGGGGTCTGGGTTTTGCTGCAAAGCAAGATGCTCAGATCGAACTGGTTGTCTGTTTTGTGCCCATCACAGAAATTCTGGAGGTGTCTAGCACCCGGATAAGAGCATGTGCTCAGATTATCAAAACCTGCTTGTACAGGGGAACTTAGTTAAAATGTGTCTTTAACTGGGTTAGGTGGCTTAGTTCAGGTAATGTCCTGTGTGCTCTCCCTAGATATAAAAAAAATTCCTTACCTTTTGTGTGAAGTCTTGAAGCAAGGTAAGTTTGCTTGAAATAATTGATGTTTTGTCATACAGCATGGCTCCGTCAGAACAGATTCAAGTCTCCCAGGTATTGAAATTAATATTGCCTTTTGTCAGGTTGGCCTTAAGGTGTCCTTGAATCTCTTCTTTTGCCCACCTCCAGGGCAGTGACCATCAATGAGTTGGGAGTATAGGACCTGTTTTGTTTGGGATCTGGTTATCAGGCACCTATGACAAGTCCTATATGGCACCAGCTCTGTTATATAAAACATGGCTTTGATGCTGGTGGTGCTTGCTTGAGTCCAAGTGCTGGCATCATTCTTCTGTCCTTCCAGTTTGTGGACCATTTTCTGTAGACATTGCCTCTGGTAACATTCCAAGGCTCTCAGGTGTTCCCAATTTTCTCATCCAAGTTTCACACCCACGTAACAGGGTAGGAAGGACAACAGCCTGGTAGATAAGTTTGGTGTGGGTCCTGATGTCATGATCATTGAACATGTGATTTTTAGAGATGGCAGTACTGGCAGATTTGATCCAGTATTTAATGTCACGGTCTATTTTTTTTGGAAAAGTGACTACCCAGGTAGGGGAATGCTCAGTGTTTTCCAAGGATTGTTCTCTAATTATCATGTATGGAGGAGCAGTTGGCCAGTTTAGGTTGGGTTGGTAAAGGATCTTGGTTTTCATAAAGCTGTCAGTGAGTTCAAGCATTTCACATGCTTCACAGAAGCATTCAAGAGTGATCTGGAGCTCTTCAGTTAAGTGGGCACACACGATACAATCATTAGCATCTTGTAGATCAGTAACAGAGATGTTTATTATTTTGTATTTGGGACATAACTGGTTCATGTTAAAGAGATTCTTGTCCATGTAATACCGGATGTTGACACCAAATGGAAGTCTGTCAGCTATCTGTGGAATATCTTTTGAGATAGATAGGAAAGAATTGTTGGTGCAATTGCACATCCTTGCTTGACTCCAATTGTAATAGTGAAGGGGTCCGTTTCTAAGCCATTGCTCAGGACTGTTGCTGTCAGGTTGTGAAGAAGTCTAATGATGGTAACAAAATTTTGGCGGGTATCTAAGTCTCATCAGGAACTTCTGTAGGGCCTTTCTGTTCGTTGAATCAAAGGCTCTAGTCAGATCAGTGAAAGCTATCTATATAACTTAGTTGGCCATATTTTTAACCTCTTGAGTGAACTGTTTTAAATTGTTGGTATTTTATGACTTGAATATCACTTATGAATTGTGATGCCTCAAGACTTGGAATCCTTTTAACTGATAGTATTGGGAATCACTACTAATAATGCTGATACACAGGCTTTAACACTGTGTTTTTAAAATTGATTCTAAGGCTAGCAGTTTGGAAGCCAAACTATATTATAAAATTTTAGTTTCTATAAGGGATCTAATTTTATAAAATGTGTCACTAAGTGTGTGTCTCTTATTTAGTTTGCAGACTGAAGTCATCAGTCAGTTTCCTTACTCGACCTGATCGTCCAAATCTAGCTTACCATAAGCTAAAAGGCAAGAACCCAGGCGTTGTTTTTCTCCCAGGTCTTAATTCAAATATGAATGGTCACAAAGCAATTGCACTTGAGGAATTCTGCAAATCTTTAGGTCATGCCTATGTAAGGTACGATCAAGAAAATTGTGTAGAGAAACAAACATGATTAACATTATGGTGTTTGGAACTAAGAAGCTCTATGGAAAGAGAGGCATAAGATAATGAGATGCCAAAATCCAAAACCAGTGTGCAGTATAGCAACAAAACAAAAAAAACCCTTCTTGTCCTAGTGTCATAATATATATTTAAGATTTGGGCACTGTTCCTATGTAGAGAATGCATTCAATTAGTAAAATATATTGTGACATGTATAAGATTCAAGTGATAGTCATTCATATTGTAACCTGTGTAGGGCATGAAATTTGATATCAGCATAGAAAAGGAAATGCTTAAAATTGAAGGTCTCCATGTCTATTATGGTTAGTAAGTTGGGTATTAACTAAAACAGGGGTGTCAAAATTACCTTGGGCCAAGGGCCAGGTCCAGACTGGAGCTCTTTGCCAGTCAGATCCAGCCTGGGGCATGCAGTGGCAGCTCAAGCTGTGGCACCTCTGGCTCCAGCACAGGGTACACACAAGCTCTGGCTCTGACCTGGGGCATGTGGTGGTGGTAGATCCTCCATCATAGGGTGGCAGCAGGGCCAGCACAGGAGAATGCCCAGGAGACAGCAGTGCTGTTAGACAAAGTGACAAGAGACCAAGCAGGGCTGTATCAATCTTTGCTCCCTCTGGCTGCTGCCATCACATCCACCAAGGCTCAAGGCAGTCTACTTCTCTTGAAGGCATCCTCTAACTTCTAGTGACCCACCAATAGCCCAGTGGCCCGGATAGAGCTCCATGAGCTGCAGCCAGTCTGCAGGCCTTATGTTTGACATCCCTGAGCTAGATTTTTTGCGTGCATAAAATCCAAGCTTGCAAGCTTCACTGTTCGGGTAAACCACTCCCACATGCCTCTGAACTTGTCCATTAAGCCATAGCAATCAAGTTTGAGCTCTGCAATTATTATTAATTGTGTCCTTTCCGTAGAAGTGCTACATCATAGGAAAGCTGTGTAATATATGTTGGGTGAGATAAGGGAATGTTCCTCACCTCGATTAAATTAGTTTGATAACGTACAGAGCTTGTTAAATCTTAGATTATACGGTAAAATTTTCAGTTATGGCAAGCATGTTTAAGCAGTCAGTTAGTACCTGAAGCAGACATTAAGTCTTGGGTACATTGTGCATCTTTCACTTCTGTTTTGGGAAAAGTACTGTCTACATGCCTGGGTTAAAGCTGAATAATAGATCTCAAGATCTACATGGGAGTTCTGCGTCACCCATTTAATGAACATGAAAGTATGTTTAAGGAGATGTTCACTTTCTTTCTTAATCATTCCTGCAAAACTCTGTGATAATGTGTTCTTAAGACCATCTCTAATATTTAGCAATGTTTGTTTTGGGCTTTTTTTAATGAAATGCATTGTTTTAACCAATATTTTACACTTTTATTTTGTTTGTTACTCTGCAGGTTTGACTATACAGGATGTGGAAGCTCAGATGGTCATCTTAAGGAATGTACAATTGGGAAGTGGAGAAAAGATGTTCTGTCAGTACTGGATGAACTCACAGAGGGACCACAGGTTACTCTTTAATTTATTTTAAAATATATCTTATGAACTCTCTTTCTAAATAAAAGCAATAGCCAGATATGCAGTTGAATGGTTCAAATGGCTGCTGCTGCTACTTAAAGGAAAAACAAAACAAAATTTACAACTTTCAGTCTGATTCATCTTGAGTAAAATTTACCAGCTAAGCTCTCCAAGTATGTAGATGCTGATAAGCAAACTAATATCTGTGGATATAACAAAGCAGCATGCTGCAGGAAAATAAAATGTGGTGGATTAAAAAAAAAAGTTGCCAAGAAAATGAAGCCAAGAGGTCAGTATTGAAATGATTGCAACTTAGATGCCTTAGTAATAAGCCCCTTCAGGTATGGATATTTTCCATTTGCAGGAGTGGGAATTACAGTAAGCTACTTGAAAAATAGCTCAGTATGTAGAGACTAGAAAAACTGATGTAATGCAGTGAAAGCTTTTTTGTATGAAATATTTATTAATCGTTGCTATTTTATTAATAAACCATTTATAATGCACAATTCTTGTCAGAATGAAACGTCAGAAATGTACTTGATGCTGAACTATATTTCAGTTTTCATTTTGTGTACAGTGGTTCAGTCTGAGAGCAGTAACTTTCCATGCCAAACAAGAACAGTAAAGTGCCAGATCCTGTAGTACTTACTCAGGCAAAATTCCTACTGGCAATGACTGCAGTTCTGCCTGGGTAAGGACAGCAGGATTAGGACTCAGGTTTAAGTAGCTATACAAAATTGTACCTAAGGCTTTGCAAAACAAAGCAGAGGGATTTTTTTATTTTAAATAGAAGAATTGCTTTAATTTCTTTTTTTCCTTTTTTTTTTTGGTTTTTTTGTTTGTTTGTTTGTTTGTTTGTTTTTAAGATTCTCGTGGGATCCAGCTTGGGTGGATGGCTGATGCTTCATGCTGCAATAGCGCGCCCTGAAAAAGTAGCTGCTTTAGTTGGAGTAGCTGTAGCTGCAGACTACGTCATAACAACTTTTAACCAGCTTCCTGTTGAGGTAAATGCTCATGGTTAGCTTTTTTCCTTTTTAATTTTGTTTACATTTGTTTGAAATTATTTTCTATGAAAGAATTATAACAGTGGCTAAACTAAATCAACAGTAGGCAAAATCCTGTATTTCTTTAAGGGAATTGTCAGGACTAGCTAAAACTTGTGCTTTTAGGTACTTCTAGTGCCTAAAAGCTCATCACAAATCAGGGCCCTGTTGTTAGCTTGCTAGGTGAGCAAAACAATGAATAGTCCCTGCCCCAATGGTTTATAATCTAAGTACAAGACAACTGATAGAACAACGTGGTGAGATTAGTCCTGTCATCATAAAGAACATGAGTGGCCTCCGTATGCCTACACTCACAATGTTTTTTCAAGTTTTGCTTAGGCATTGTTATGTAGACAAGGAGAGATTAGGAGGAATCTGAATGAAGTAATTTGGCAGAAGTTTACTAGCAGTTTCTGCCAGCATGAGAGACAGTAAGGTAATAGTCAAATTTTGTGGTGGTTTAGAAAACTTAATGAATGGATGGCTATGGTTGGTGTTGGCCAAATTGGAGGTGCCCTTCAGTCCTAAATGAGAGATGTGGGGAACTGAATAGGCTTTATAAGGGGCTTTACCAGTGAACGTATGCTTGATGTTGTGGGTAATGGCAAGCCAGAAGCAAGATGCCAGGAGTTGGTTGTTATATACCTAGCTGTCTGTTTTTAACTAGCAACTTCACAGCTATGTGCTGAATGGGTGTGAATGAGAGATGACTGCATTTCTCCGTGCCAAAGAGAGAATGTTGCAGCAACAGAGATGAGAACCTGGAACAGCTTTAGCTGTGTGAATAGGGGATGCCATGAATTGGACATAGTGTGCTTTAAGGAATTTGCAAGACTTGTGCTACAGTGTGGCGTAAGTCAAAGATGACAATTAGGTCATGGTAATGAGTGATGGGCAAGATAGTATTCATGTTCACAGTCCTTCGAGAAAAGTATATGAGTTCATGGAGGGCTTGAGGGGTGGGGGGAAAGATCTATTGTAAGTATTAGGTTAAAGGCCAAGAAGGCTGTTCGTTGGAAGACCCTCATGTTTGAGTCTCTGTGGCAGGACTAAAACCAATTGTATGGATATGTCAGGCTTGTTTGTGGCCAAGAGACCCATGTTTTATTGCTGCTGCAGAGGAGATGTAGGTTGGGGTTTAGGAGGAACTTTCTGATCATAAGTGCAGTCAAGCATTGGAGCAAGTCACCTAGAGAAGTTGTGGGATCTCTATCCCTGGAAATTTTTCAAGAGCAGGTTGGGCAGACACTTGGCTAGGATGGTATGGTCAGGATAAGCCTATTTTGAGCCAGGGCCTAGACAAACTCACAAGGTCCTTTCCAGCCCTGATTTCACATGATCTATTTTTTTGAAGCCCACTATAATAGCAGATTTCAAAAGAATGTTTCTCTTGATTCATTTTTTGCCTTTTTCTCTTTTTTCCAACAGGTAAAAAAAGTAGTAGAAGAAAAAGGTGAATGGAAGCTGCCAACAAAACATAACGAAGAGGGCTTTTATTGTTTGACATATGATTTCATTAAAGAAGCAGAAAACCATTGTCTCTTAGCTAGTCCTATTCCCATAACTTGCCCTGTAAGACTTATCCATGGCATGAAGGATGAAGATGTTCCTTGGCATATTTCCATGCAGGTTGCTGACCATGTCTTGAGCAAAGATGTTGATATCATCCTCCGCAAAGCTGGCCAACACCGGATGAAAGAAAAAGATGACACAAAGCTTCTTGTGTACACTGTTGATGATTTGATTGATAAGCTTTCACACTTGGTGTGAGTTGCATGGTAAAACAAATGCATGAGTACACATGGCTCTCTTCTGTGTTAACTGAAAATGTCTTTAACGGCAGTGGAACACTGCTGAATCAGAAAAGGTGCAGATGCTATGAACAAAAGGAACTGAAGCTTTAACTGTTGTTTCCTTTACCTCTGTTTTGTAAAAAAAGGTATTTTCTAAATGCTGCATTTGCACAAATAGTAGAAAATGTGAAGAAACTGCTGCTGTTTGTTTGGAAACTTCTCCCCCACCTCAGATCTGTGACTTTTTTCACAAGTTTCCTACACTATTTTGTATTGAAATATGTTTACCTTTCTTAGATTTGTGCCAATGCTTATTTTTTCTATTATTTGACCTGTACAAGTTATTTTTACGTTCACTTCACACGCTTCAAATATTGTGCTTTATGCTGTAACATTCTTATTTGAGTCCTGAAACTTTTATGCAAGTTTTTTGGCTCATTTAAAAAAAATACAGCTGAAATGTTTAATGAGATTTGTGTCTTTGAATATAGAATGAGTCAACATGAAGCATAATAAAAAAAAAAAAAAAAGCTTCAAATATAAGGTGGTATTTTTTTGTTGCTGCTTACTAAACAAAAAAGAAAAGAAAAGCCCTGGTTAACAAAATAATGCTCTTAGTGTCTTTGTGCCTGGGATGTAATATGATGAGCAAGTTGGACTTTGTGGTGCTATACTACTTAATCATCATAGCCCTGATGCACCACTCGGATAGGAATTGCACGGCTATTATTTTATGACTTTAGAATAGCTAGCTCTCTGCCCTAACATTCTGCACAACGTACAGGACTGAAATTCATGGTATTTCTGCTTTTGTTAGTTTTTCATTTTGAGGCAGGAATGAAGCGAATAGACCAATGCTTGTTCCCAACATCATGCATAAAATTGAATGCACACACTAACACTTGAAAAATTGCATTTTCTGACTGGTTTGTTTTTTTTTTGGTCTCTAGGGAATAATATCTACTCAGTTCAAATTATAACTTTAGTTATTACATGAGTCAACTCTACACAGCTTCCTGTTTGTTAAACTCCTTACTTAAGCAGTGTTAAAACAAAGCCAAAGTTTTGTCAGTGTTATGCTTTTTGGCTTCACTTTCCCCAGTTACTCATTACAGTGAATATTAATTTGGCATGCATGCTTGGAGAAAGCACAAGGAAGGATTTGGCCTCCAGTACTTACTCTAATACTGGACTTGAATACTTCTGTTCATTAGGTACTAAATCTGCTTTATAGACTAAACATGATGTGTGCAAATATGAACACTGCAGAGCTGAAATGAAGTTGCATGTAAAGCATATAAATCAGTAGGTGTCTCACCTGGGGATTAAATTATGAATGTGTTTGTCAGGTAGGTTATTTCTCCAGAAATAAAATATATGTGCCATGAAATGTCAGATGAGTTGATTTAGGTAATAGGCTGGAATAACAGAAACCATGCATGGTTACTGTTTAATTAGAAAAATAATTTGTGACCACTGGTTTCATTAATTTTCAATTAATAAATTACTTCAGGATTACCAAATAAAGACTAAAGCCACTAGGGGCACCATATGCCAAAAGAATCTCAAATCTGTTATAACTTGCTCTGGTTTCTCTTCAAGTCGCATAAATCTTTTACCTTGGTGTTAACACTGAGAGAAGCACTAAGTGGTTTTTTTTGTTAAGTACTGTTTTGTGCATCTATTTCATCACTATACAAACAAGAGGTCATAACTTGCCACTTTCACAGCCCAGCTGGAAGGAGAAAACATAACTATAAATTCAGAGGAAGCAAGGATACGGTTTACAATTTAAATCCCGTTCTTCTGAATTTCATAACTTGTTCCTCTAATCAAATTAAGACGTTGAATAAGAAATGTCTATTTATGAATAAGAACATTTCAGGAATTCTGTCTTCCAAATAGTACTTTTAGCATTTTTCATGCATGCAGTATATACAGCCCCTTCAGTAGGACAACCTTTAAAAATTGACTTCACCATTCCTCTACACTTTGAGTGAAAGTTCAGAGGATAAGGGTGTATGCATTCACTCTTCTGGCATCTTCTGGTGAAAATTAGCACTTTGTTCAGAAAATTATTTTTGTTTTATATTGTTGTTTCTAGTACTTGAAATGTGGAAGTTGATTGTGAAGTTTCTTTCCTGAAGAGTTTAAAGGGACTCAACCAAATCAAAACCTGACTTGAAAACTATGTTCTACCCTTGATACATCTTGGACAACTTTTGTACTCATATGCTTAATAAATCTCTCTCCTCAGGTTCTTTCACTTCTTTTTTCCTGGCTATGTTATACATCAGAAAGGCTGCATAATTATTGCTAAAAATGTAGCAACAGACTGAAACAGATGGACCCCAATTATACTTAAATCTTTGGAGACTTCTTATCCGACTTCTCACATACTAAAAAGTGAGATTTTTTTTTTTTTTTTTTTTTTTTTAATGTGTCCCTTTAACCTTCCATTTGTAGCCGTTCTGATAAGGTAAGGAAGAGAAAATGTCCATTAGAACTATGCCTAGTCTAACTGTATAATGGAAACATGTTCAACTTTACCTTCCACTGAAACATTCCTTTCTTAAAAATGTTCAACTCTACTTTCCACTGAAACAGTCTGTTCTTAAAACTGTCACCTGTCACAAATAAAGTACTGTTGTGTCAGTAAATGCTTCAAGTGATTTTATAATGATACAGGAGGATGTGGTGTGGGTGGAAATAGGATGGGGGGCTTGGATGTACAATACTTCCTGAATGAGTTGGCTTGGAAAGCAGATTCTTCAGTAACATTTTCTTAATACAATACAAAATTTTGTAGGGTTCCTGGCTGGACTTGCAGCATTTTCTCAAGTGCTAAACTTAATTTCTCTCTCTCAAAGTAATTGTTAAATAGACTTTTCCTACGGTAGTAATAGCATTTCCCTGCGTTTTCCTCTAGACTTGGTTAAATAGGTTCAAACCGGGTTGGATGATGTAAGAAAATGGGCCCTGACCCATTGCCTCATTTATGTTTTCCTTACTGATGCTAGATTTGCACCACTGATAGCAATGTTGGGAAACTTGAGGGAAGAATGATTATTGTATACTCAGCCTTTCTGCTCTAGGGCCCCTGAGACTGGAGAGATTTACAACCTACTAATAATGATGTCTCAGTGTGGGGGTTTTTCCAGGCTATCTGCTTGGCTGGGTCCTTTCTTAGGAAGTCACACTAGTCACTAGATAATTTAATATTCACATATTCTGGTGTGATTCCAGTCTCATTCAGTAAAGCCTTTGAATCTCTTGGGATATTTGCCAATGGCATCTGTCCTCTCTTTTCCTTTACAATCACGTAGACAATCATTTTTAAATGCTACCTTTTCTATCAATAAATTCTGCTTTTGTAGGAAAGCTGTGTGTTACAATAATGTGCATTACATACCTAAAAAAACATTTTAGCCATTTTACATGGTTTGAATATCTATATTCTTATAATTCTGTATCAAGTGTTTTGCACATGCTTTGTTTCGTTCTTTTTTTTTTTTTTTAACCTAGTTTTCCAATTCATTGCCCACTATCAATAGTAACTTCTGAGCACGTAGCATATGTATTTCTTTAACATATAAGGTGCAACCAATGAAATTATCTGAAATTTCTTGTTCAGTTTCAACTATAATTGTCAAGGCAAGTATTTGGTTATCACATTTTGCCAGCAGTAATCACCACCTTAAGTTTGGAGGTTTCTAAAGTTTCTTTAGTTTTTCAATCGGTGCTGGTTAATAGATCACTGACATTTTAGCGCATCTGTCTCGTATATCAGAACCAAATTATTTATTTGTTCAATCCTTGATCTTCCTCCTTTGACTACCAGCAAAGTTAACCAATCACTGTTGATAATGTTGGTGAGCTTTTTGTAATGTGTACACCAGGTAAGAAATGGACTGAAACCAAAAAGATGGCATCACATTACCTACTTATAGCAGCAATCAATATGGGCTGTTTGACCTTGCAAGTGAACAGTCTTAAAAATCTAGTGGCTTTCAAGTATTCAGATCACAACTATTTTCTTAAAGCTTTATGGGGCATTTGGAATTGTACCATGCACTAATTTTATTTTTTTTTTTTAAATACTAAAATTGGGTACAGATTTGTCTAGTCTGAATTGGTTTCTCTTCAGACTGTTAGGAGACCATTTACCCTTTGTTTCTGTTTTGGCGTAAACATTTCCTTTTAGCTTCCTGGAATTAATATAATATATCCATCCCCCTGCCCCCATGCTGCCGCCAAACCTCCCTAGCCTTGTGGTAGGTTTGATTAGGTTTCTTTAGCTCATCCATTATTGACTACTTACTACAGACACATTCGGGCTGAGAATCCTGTCCCAGCTATCATGATACAAAGACCCTCTGGATATTGACAGTGGAACTCAACTGGGATGTCTAGCTGATTTTAATGTAAGTTTAGTTAGTGTATTGTCAATACCTGGCTGTATTCATCCCGTCCAGGTCATTAAAATTAGTAGTGTACATTCTTGCCCAATATGCAGCTCAAGACCTAAAAATTTCAGCTTTGAAAAACAAAACAGGAAAAAAAAATTTTCCTCCCCTTCCCAGTTAAATTGTAATGATAAACAGGTAATCACAAAATATAATTTATCCAGGTGACCAGTTATATACTTTTGACTGACATTTTGTTTCAGATCATCTGCAAAGCCACAGTGCTATTTAGTTCACAAAGCAAAATCTAATGTCTTTTGAAGCTGGGAATGCAAGTTGTCTAGCATTTTGGTACAACCCTGATGCATACATTGGAGAAAAAGCATTTTCAGGGGAGAAAAAAGATTCAAGTATATAAGATTATAGTGGTAGCTATAAACCATATAGAAATGAGACTGTTTTTAATGATGAACTAATACTAGTATGTTGACCCTGTTGCTTAACAATCTATTCTTTTTATGTTTAAAGACTTTAACCATTGAGCAAGTGCTTTCTGTTTTCTGAGTGCTCAGCTTTATTAATGCAGTTTAACATATATTTATTTTTACAGTAAGCCAGTATATATTCTACTTTTGTCCTTCTCTTGCCATAATGTCTGACTCTATTATATCTAACAGCTCCTTTTTTTAGTTAAATGGCAATTAAGTGTTTGCCTTTTTGAAAGGCTTTCAATTCATCCTGGTTTTTGCCCCTTTGAAAAAATGCAAACAATGGTACTTTTCACACAAGCTGAGTGGGGCCCTGCCTCCTGCTCTGTCATTTTTATGTTAATTTTGGTTAGATACTTTTTCTTAATCCCACTGGCAGTCATTATAGGGACCCTGAGATTTATTGCATCATGCTACTTCTAACCACATAAAAATGCATATTTGTCTTTCCGAGAAGAACCTGGAATGAGTTATGACTCTGCAGCTGATAGGGTATTGGAAACTCTTCAGTCTTGCTGTAATATACAGCACTGAAACCCTGTCTAAAACAGTATGTTCAAATGAGAAATTGTCCTATTTCTCCAAGGTCATTCCTACCTACGTAGAAAATAGTGGCATGTGTAGCTGACTCAGTGGTCTGCTCTTTTTCATCAGACATTGTAGAGAAGAACCATGCAAACCACACATCTAGCAGTTAAGGAAAGCAACTGATAACACTGAAATTCACTTTCAAGTAAACATATACATTGATTGTGTTTTCAGCTGTGTTAGGGTGCAGTGCATTGTCTAAAAGACTGGATAATATTCCCCCATATCTGCCTGGAAGAGTGTTACGATTATGGCCAAAGGCATACTACAGATTTAACAGTTAAGGGGTCTATTGTGATATGGTGAAGGCCAGCTCAATGGATTTGGGCATAACTGTACTTGTACCCTAGTTAAAGCCTCAGACCAATAAGATAGTCCAGTGGTGTAACAGCAACTGATGCAGGAAGAAAGTGTTGAATCTGAATAGGTGTTAGGATTGTATATTTGTGTCATTGAGGGCATCGATGTTCTCTCATCCTCCTTCTCTACAGATACCGAGTATGATCCAGGTACTCCATATCTAAATAAGCACCACGGGTAAGTTAATTCTTTTTTTTCCCAGCATTTATATCTCATTTTAATAGATTTGAAGGCCAAAAGGGAACAGTGTGATTACCTATTTAATCTATAGCACAAGGCAGGCCATAAAATTTGCTTCTCATCCCCTTGTTATGTGTCTAAAGATTGTGCTAGCCCTCTCAGCTGCAGGGCTGTACTAAGAACTCATGCAAAGCTGATTGTCCTCTATGGCTTTCTGAATTCTTTCAGAAACATCATTTCCCAGAGCAGAGCCCTTGATCAGTTGCAATCTTCTACTTCTGTTGCAATTTTCTATTGCGCCATATTGTCAAATCTATTGTTTGCCCCTGTTTGGCCTATTAAAGAATTTCTGTAGGTTGTGGATAAAGAGTTTGCTTCTTCATTTTTTCTTCATTGTCATTTGTATAAATGACATGCAGATATTAGGGCAAGTGATTTTATTTGCATCCTGGTCACTGATAAAATGTTAAATATAACAGGGCCTAGAATTGAACCTTGTGGGACCCAATTAAAATGTATCTGGTCAATGATGAGTCTTCATTTATATTGTATTTCAAGACCTATCAGTTAACCCACATTTAAACCATTTAATTTCTCACTCTGTCGTGCCACCCCAAGCTAACTGTCTTATAGACATCTCATAAAAATGATGTGGTTTGTTTTGACACAATCTAGCTGCTTCAAATCATGTTGATTAATAAATACCAAATTACTTTCTTGTAATTCTCCAATTCCATAACTGCTGGCCTATTTTTTTTTTTTTTTTTTGCTCTAGGACTGATTGTCAGAGTGATAAATCTGTATTAACTCACATCTTCCCATTTAGCTTTTTTAAAATTTGACACGGCACTAGTTTTCTTCCCATTTTTGGAAACTTCTCTTCTTTTCTATGACTTGTTAAAAATGGTCCAGAACTTTACATAGCTCCCTCTGGGTAGAACATTCCCTTGAGAGCTGGTTCCACAGGCAGTTGATGGGCCTAGATGTGATGGGATGGAAGGGCATCCTTTTGTGAATAGACCTGAGAACAGCTGTGAAGCTGGACAGTTTCTTTATATCCCACCCAGAGTGGGTCCTGACTCCTCTGCTACTTCCATGGAAAGATGTACAACACGTAACCACCCTTTACTGGAAGAATGCTAAGATGGAGCTGTAAGCGCAAACCCCAAGTTCCCTCTACTCCATGTGGCAGTAGGCTGAATAGTGCATGCTGTGGCTCTTAACCATTAGTTTGTGTGGAAAGACAATCGTATTCATGTACTGGTCTCACTGTGACTGATGCAACTTAAATTTCTCACCTTCTGAAAGCTTGGTTTGATGTCTTTGTCCTTGTTTTCTGTAGTGGTTCCATTCAGTGAGCCTATAACAATGTGCCCTATGGCACCGAAAGGACCTAAATAATAGCTTTGTCATGTAACACACTATGGAACAGCTGAATTATGTAAGAAAATATTTCAGGGGTTTTAAAATTACCAGTGCATGAAATGGAAAGCACTAAATTAAATGCTTGTAGCAGAGAAGAATGAATGAGGTACTCTATTAAATTTTTCATCTCCTGAGTCTGCTTAGGCCTCAGGGCATCTTGGGTAATATAAATCTGAGATCTTCCAAATGTGATCAAAATGGG